TGCTTGGTATTTCAATGACATCAGTTGAAAGACTGAAGAGAGAAATAAGAGATCAAAAACGAGAAATGTTGGAGAAAAAAAACGAACTGATTGTACTACATAAGAAACGGGATCTGGAAAAACAAGATAAAGAAGATGCTGCGTTTCCAGCGACACTTTGGCTTCGACATCCACGTACAAGATCATCATCAATTTCTACTGCATCGTATACTACTACGAAAATACTCATGCCTGTTGCTAAACGATCACGAAAAAGTGGTCATGTTGAGGTTTTAACAATCGTTTTGACAGATGATCAAAAAGAAAATATTCGATAAGTACACTTGAGAGAATTGACATGCCGATACATCTATACTTTTTTTAATTATCATGTTCATCTGCTATTAGCTGAACTGGTGTACCCGACTACACACAAAATTCTTAATAGAATTTTGGGCGACGATGCTGATTTTCCTATTCGTTCGGGAACTATGTTGTGGCGCTGGATGAAGAAGTTAGGTTTTGCATATAAAAAGACATCTAAAGTTATTGTGTCCCTTGATTCTCCTTTCAATATGGCAGCTCGTGCACGTTATTTCGCCAAAATCAATGAACTAAGAAACAATGGTACTCTTATATTTTGGCAAGATGAAACGCGGTGTAATCAAAATGAAGAAAAAAAAACTTTATTTGGACTGATAGAGATACAGGTGCTGGTCGTCTACGACAAAGTACTGGCAAAGGTATGATTTCTTCTTCCTCTAAAATTGCCTGTGATTGTTTTTTGTCTACAGGGAAACGGCTCGCTATTTCTGCGTTGATGGGCTCATCAGGTTTCCATGCATCATCCATTGATATATTTGAATGTAATGAAGATCACAATATGAATTCAGCACATTTTCTGACATGGATCGATCGTACTGCGTCTCTTCTTCGAAAGGAACTTGGTAAGATTTCTCTTTTATCATTTTCACTATTATTTTTGGGCTTAGGAAAAGGTACAAAATTATTCTGGTGATTGATAATGCCACATGGCATAGTCGACTCACAAATGACACAACACCACTAAAACGATCATGGCGCAAAGAAACTATTATACGATGGCTCAAAAGCCATAACATTGTTGTTCCTGAAAAAGCTGTCAAAGCTGAATTGCTCGAGATTGCTTTAGACAACCTGCCCCAAAAAAAATATGAAATCGATGAAGCAGCTAAAAAATACAATGTTGGTATTTTGCGGTAATTTTTTAACTTCAGTGTTTACTTTTGGTCTCAAAATGAGTATTTATAGATTGCCTATCAAACATTGTTTGATCAACCCAGTGGAGTTGGCATGGGCAGGATCAAAGCGGCATGTGCGAGATAATAACATCAATTTTCATCTTAGCGACGTCCAGCAATTAGCACATCAATGGATGCTAGCCTTGAAACCAACTACAGTAGCTGCTTACCTCAATCATGTATATAATATTGAGGAAACATTCAAGAAATCAGATAATTTTACGGAACAAATCGAAGAAAACTTATTGGATGATGACGATAATGAGGAATCGGATTCTGAGACCGAAGCGGTGATTGATTGATACTCAGAATTTATTTCTTTTTCGTTGTTTCCTGCTGCCAAGTAGTAGTCTAAAGATACAGTGCTGGCCAAAAGTCCCTCACCCCCTGAACTTCACTCATAACAAGAGCCAGACAGCTGAAATTTTGTGTGTATATACTCTATGATAAATGCTGATCATAGGCACAAGCCCTGTCATAATTGCTCGAGTTAGAACGGAGTTATAATAGGTAGTAGTCATGTCCCTTGTGAAACCCATTATTCAAGAAACGAAAGACCTTTTAACTCGATCAACACCTCATTATGTAGCACTCTATTCTAGCTATCTACAATATAAATTCCAGTGAAGTTCATAGAGCCATTGTAGAGTTATGACCATTTTACTGTAATCATTGATGTACACGAAAACCATGTAATGACATTGTGAAATTCATAACTCAGTGAAAGCTGAATGGATCCAAGTGAAATTTTCAGAAGATGTTTCCTAACAGTTGCCCACTATTTTCTGAAAATTTCAGAAGCAAACATTATATTAGAAGAAAATGGCACATTGCTCATCATCAGGTACTTGTCAGAGCTCTAGAAGTCCGAATTCTCGAGCAAATGTACTCATNTGACTAAGCCCTAATCAACGATCTTGCTTGTACATTATGAGCTTCTACAAATTACAACAGATGAATTAAATTCAAATGCTGTCTCTGATCTAAAACTTACGTCCTCTACAAATTAGAATATCTTTTCTTAACATAAAAAATAACTTTTTATTAATTTTTTTCAAATTGATTCATCTCCTATAGACGCTCTCATTAATTAAATCTTTAAAATTTAACCATAAAATGTAATCATTTTATAGATAATTAATGAAACTCTCAAGTTCAGCTCAACTGAAAATTCAAAAATAATTTAATTTTACTTAAACTTAATTTCTTGGGTATAAGTAAAATATGCTATAATCTACTCTAACTCACTCCAACCTCCGATTAACTCTAAGATATTAGAAATCGATAAAGCCTTGAATTCTTCGCTCAGAAGATCCACTCTAAGCCATTATCTTTAAAAACCTTTGGATAAAAAAATTAAATATTTTTTTCAACGTCCACTCCTAGCCACTCGAAGCCACTGCAAGCCCACTCCAACCCACTCTAACTTATTCTCACACAGGTCTCAACGAGAACTAATTTGTGACAATAAAAAATTATCGAAGTCACTCTTCGATATATCTGAACATATTCAACTTATGATTAAGTACCTCGCTGTTGTTCAATAGATCCTTGATTCTTTTTTCTCGAAAGTATCTTTCCATGTATATGATTAATGAAATGAATGTTATACATGCACTGTGAAATGAGTCATGTTTCTTTTATTATTCTTTTTTTTTCGGTTTTTTGTTTTGTCCTCTATTCTCTTGCACATGAGAAGTATCTTGTTAGTACAAGAGTTTCAATGGAATTTATCTTCCTTTTTCATGTGTATGTTTGGACGCGACATGGTAAACATGCATTTTAACAGGGAGATCCAATATTTTGGAAGTCTTCATAATGAAATAGACAGAACATTAGAATACAGTATGTTACTCATGTTGCGTTTGAAGTTGTGCTAAGGCGAGAGTCAAATCAATGTTCCTAACCTGAAGCGTTTCGGTGTCCTCACCGGAAACACGCAATGTTCGACAAATCCACACGTTTTGCTTCATAGCTGAGTGCGCCAATCATCGAACTAGTTATTGAACATTCACTCCAGTTATTCCGTAAGTTTGCCTTATCAAATGTTCGGCAATTACGTCATCCGACATTATATGACAATGATGTCGAAAGCATTAATCATATGATCGAGAGTATAACAAATTGTGAAATTCTGGCACTATTAGAAACAATCGATATTCCTCATAGAAAGGTACATTATCAAAGAAGTGAGTCGATTCGGATGCTATGCGCCTAAAGTGAATTTGAAGTTTTTTATCCTTACAATTGGTAAGACATTTCTTGTTGAAACATATAGAGCGGTACTGTTTCTTTAGATTTCAACATCATCTCCAAATTTGCAATGGAATGTCATTTCAGGAGGAAGGAACGCGTGATTTTGAGTTACTTTAGTTTCTAATCACAGCAGTATTTATAGATATAAGAAATGCCTTCAACATCGGCGGATCAGCGAGGCACAATCTACATATGATAAGCGCGCGTTGCACGATCATGATTCCCCAAAAAGACATAAATTATGTACTCACATTAATCTAGTCATAACAATCGTGCACTGATGTGAAAAAAAGGAAGATAAATTCCATTGAAACTCTTGTACTAAAAAAATACTTCTCATGTGCAAGAGGATAGAGGACACAATAAAAAACCGAAAAAAGAAAAGAATAATAAAAGAAACATGACTCATTTCACAGTGCATGTATAACATTTATTTCATTAATCATATATATGGAAAGATACTTTCGAGAAAAGAGAATCAAGGATCTATTGAACAACAGCGAGAGACTTAATCATTAGTTGAATAAGTTCAAATATATCGAAGAGTGAGTTCGGTAATTTTTTGTTGTCGAAAATTAGTTCTCGTTGAGACCTGTGTGAGAATAACTTAGAGTGGGTTGGAGTGGGCTTGCAGTGGCTTGGAGTGGACGTTTAAAAAAATATTTAATTTTTTTATCCAAAGTTTTTTAAAGAAAATGGCTTAGAGTGGGGTTTCCTGAGTGAGGAATTCAAAGCTTTATCGATTGATAATATCTTTGAGTTAACCGGGGACTGGACTGAGTTAGAGTGGGTTATAGCGTATTTTACTAATGCCCACATTTCGATGACTGAAAACAGCGTTAAATGAGACTTTGGAATGTTACTGGCATTAAACTTCTACGAGCATGACTAAATTTTGAGCGCTTTCTGCTAGGTAAGAATTTATTTCTTATTGATCATAAAAGACTAAACAGCGCACTTCAATGCTTTTCTGTTCAAGATCCGTTGGAGATGCATGCTCATTGATAAAGCCGGTATGAGCACAAAATCGGGCAACATCGAGCTTGCTGTCGAAGATTTTGAAAATAAACATTTCATTGGACCGCATTTGGCTCAGATAGTACCATTTTTGAGCATCTTGAGCGTTGCATGAAATTTGGTAGCCAGATGTATTATTTTTAGATCCCCGAACCTCTCCAACATGAACATTGTTGTCGAGATCAAGTGAACGATAGTCACAGAGGATTAAAGGCATGTTCACTATGGGATTGGGACCCAATGGTCGCCAAATATTGATCATTTGAAAGCGATTCTGCATCAGCTTTTCAGCCTCTTCTTCGCCGAGTATTTCTTTTACTTTTGAACGAACGGCAGGCGGATCACAATCCACGTGTGGTCCGAGAGCAGGATTCTTGTGGGTTGGATCGCACTGATCAGCGGTACGCAGCGGTCCTCGGCAGCGGAATATATGATTGAAGACGATCACACGGGAGGCACCCAGACGTTTTTTGAGCAATGCAACGATATCTTCATAGTAAGATCGCTGTGTCTCACTGTCGTCGTTGAATTCATCGTGTACGTGTCCATCATATTTTAACAGTTCAAAGCCATTGGTGTCGAGATCGACGCTATTCTCTCTGCTCCGCAAATCATGAACGGTAACGCGAGCGGGTTTTTCCACAAAATTCGTCTTAGCGAAGCTAAACTCAGGACTCACATCGACCCATGGGAGAGAGCCGTCTATCGTGTGGCTAAAAAACCTGATTTCTCCAGTGATATCGACGGCCATCTGTAGCTCAAGACAATTTACATGGACAAAGTAGATGCGTGCAGCGAAAGAGAGAATGAAAGCAAAGCGATTCGATTACTTCTTATCTTATTCACGATAGAAGTCTTTTTGAGATGTGAGAAAAAGCAGTCATGTACAGTCACTACAAGTCATTTTCTTGTCGTTCTGACTCTTATCGTGTGATACGAGAAAAGAAAGGAAGGTGAAGGCCAAAAGACAGCAGATAAATAACTCGCCTGTGAATAGCAGCATCCGAGAATGATAAATAAGTGTTCTTTTATTTTCTTATGCGAACTAACGAATGACCCATAATAAATGGTCGATCTTCTCATCTGATATTTATAACTTGTCTTATAATTCACCTACGATCCCATTGATAGGTTTTGGTGAATAATTCTATACTAGTTTAAATTCTAAGCATGAAGAAATTTCTGGAATTAATATGTATTATAAGGAAGATAATAATCTAGATAAACGAGTTGAAATGTTTAAAAACAGAAATATTCCGAAGAAAATAGTATTGTTCACATTAATGAATTTCATAACGATTACAAAAAAAGCAAAGTCATTAGATGATTTACAGGGAAGTCTTATATGCACAAAAACTTAAATGAAGCACTTCGTTTAAATTGTATTATTTTCATATTTAATTTTTGGCTTTTCATTATAGATTTATCAGCTGAGATTGCAGAAAGAAACAGTTTTACTGGTTTTGGGAGCACTTTTAAAACACGGAAGTGAATTTTAACACACATCACGCATGCGTGTGCATGCCTTAGTCGATTTTCCACCATCAAACGAATACCCGAGATCTGATCAGCAACTTCTTATTGGAGCTGGTAATGCCGTCGCTTTAGTGCTGACTGAATTAGATCAACATGATGATTTAATCGACTTTTTTAATGAGATAGTTAAATTTATAAAAGACTATATCGATGAACATAATCAACGTAATGAATCATTAACAGTATTTTATGTTAAAAAAGTTATCCATATTATTACAAAGATAATTGTTTAGATGCATTAAAATTCTCTAGTAAGACATTCCAACGTTACAGAAAAAATTATGGTTCTTATGATGACTTAGTTACTTGTTACAAAGCTGTTGGTAATATTTGTGGTCATCTTGCACGAATAGAGACAGTGAAAGGTAATATGCTTGGATATGTTCAACAACAAAGATTTGCTGAAACTAAAAGAAAATATTACGAAGCGATTTCTGTATTTGAAAAGACATTACCATATGATCATCGTTATATTGATGAATCCTTGCAGAATATGAGTGAGCTCTATTTTTATTACTTGTGATTATGATAGAACATTAGAGTATTGTTATGAAGCAAAACAAATTATGATACAAAGATATCGAAAAACTATTATCTTGCATTGTAACTTCGCGAAAAAATATTGTTGACTACCCCTACTGAGCAAACTGATAAGATGAAAACTATTATTTCGATTTATTAATTTTTGACCTTCCTATATAAAGATAAAAATCAAATTATATGAGAAATCAAACATGTTTTACTCAGTTCTTTTTCATCTTCATATGATTCTGAATAGATCTATTTAAGCTACTATGGCAGACTAATCTATCTGAGATTATTCGATCAAATGTATCTCTTAAATTGATTAATTATGTATGAATTCATGAGGAGTAGGTTTTTTCTTGAAACAGAACTTTGTTTTGCATTAGAATAGTCTATTGTATCCGTAAAGCTCACCATATTAGTTGCATGAATCAAAGATAAAACTGAAATATTCAAAGCGTAATATGTTGAACTTTGTCAAATCGATACTTTTTGGAAGAATGTGCACTTATCTACTGATTTGAGCAAATTGAATTTAATGGTCGAAAATCTGGATATCTTTTTGTATTTTAGATCTCTGAAAGCTGTAGTAAACTATCTTTTGATTCAGTGCGTTGATCATTCTTCAAAGACTGATCGATCATCTCTACAGTTAAAAAGCTATACAGAGTTGTCTTTTTTTCTTTGTATCATCGCATACATTCATCATTTATCATAGAAGTCTCGTCAAGAACTATCGATATTTGCCTTATTTATCAAGGTCTATGTTTCCAACTTCCAGGACTACAAACGTGCACTCATAAAAGTAGAGTCCGTGGGAAGAACAGTCAAAGCGATCAGAGGCATTCATGTACTTTGGTTGTTGTCTAATTGACCAGATAATGTCGTTCTGTTCTATTGCGTCAACAGCACACGATGGCCAAAATCCACCTTTGAGATTATTTTCTCTCATGATAACGGACCAATAGAAATGAGAGAAAAAGTGGTGTGATGATGATTGTTATATATATAGATGCCTTCTTTTCAACTTGGCGAGTAACATTTTTGTTTGTCTAAATGGCCCTCTCCGAACGTGAGCTTTGCCACAGTTATCTTTATCATTAGATAGCTGCAAATAAAATTAAAACAGAAAAAAACACATGTCATCTATGGTTGTTGAATAATGACTATAACACACATTAGACTTGAAACCGGTATCGAACCAATACGGTTGAAATTTTCAAAGGGTGAGCGTGGGTGTGTGGATGTAGTGTGTCTGCGCCTTTGGGTCGTTCATGAAAACAACCCACACCCACACTCACACCTCGAAAACTTTCGTTACTAGGGAGTTAGAGTTGTTTCTTTTTCTCTTCTTTATTCTAATGTCCATTTCAAATTAAAAGAAGGATGGTTGTATTTCGAATAACTTTTTAACAATGATAGCTATCGATCTGTGGTTTTCACCATTAGAAAGAGGCAGTGATTTTGCATCCTTCTGTATAATAGCGATTTCTTCAATTCATAAGTTTGATGAGCAGGCAGTGAAATTCAATGAAGCATTGGAAGTGATATAAATAATATGTATGATTTCAATTATATTGAGTGCGTTAGATTCCTCTACTCAAGATCTACAATTCTACACAAACCCGTAATTTTTTTCTAATTTCGTTCAAAAGTTATACGTCTTACACTAGTTGTCAAAAATGCGAAAAATACTCCTTCAATATTATTTTTCAAGTTTCAGTATTTCTAATATTATCAAGAAATAACTAGGTTTTCGATCATTCTTGATGGAACGAAACTATTCATTTCGTAAAGAAATCTTTCTTTGTCGACTAAAATTAGTACTACTCACGATACATCACAGTTCGACTGTTCTGCTATCAAACCATAATGACACAAAAAAATTATTACGGGTTGAAAATCTTCTTTAGCATGTTTGGTTAGACTAGAGGCCCATCAGTTTCACCATCAAGGTCACATATAATTTTTCTTTCAGGTTTAATCTTCAGTAATAACCTGCCATCTAGAAGTTGTGTTTAAAGGAAGGATAAAAGCACGAATCATTCACCGAAACAAAAATAACTCTTTCCTTTCTGGCTGAATTAGAATTTTGAATCGATATTTCTGTTGCGTAATTTAAAGAAAGAAAAAAAGGGAAGACTATCAGTCAGTTCAGATAAACATCAACCATCGATAACATGCCCACGGGTATTGGTTTCTCGCAAGATGTGAAGAAAATAATGTTCAATGTGATTCAGTTTGTGGAACGTGAGAAGAGCGGTTGTTTAATTACATTGAATAACGTAAATGATCGTATTAAATCTATGCTTGGTATTTCAATGACATCAGTTGAAAGACTGAAGAGAGAAATAAGAGATCAAAAACGAGAAATGTTGGAGAAAGAAAACGAACTGATTGTACTACATAAGAAGCGGGATCAGGAAAAACAAGATAAAGAAGATGCTGCGTTTCGAGCGACACTTCGGCTTCGATATCTACGTACAAGATCATCATCAATTTCTACTGCACCGTATACTACTACGAAAATATTCATGCCTGTTGCTAAACCATCACGAAAAAGTGGTCATGTTGGGGCTTCAACAATTGTTTTGACAGATGATCAAAAAGAAAATATTCGGTAAGTACACTTGAGAGAATTGACATGCCGCTACATCTATACTTTTTTTAATTACCATGTTCATCTGCTATTAGCTGAACGGGTGTACCCGACTACAGACAAAATTCTTAATAGAATTTTGGGTGACGATCCTGATTCTCCTATTCGTTCGGTAACTGTGTTGTGGCGCTGGATGAAGAAGTTAGGTTTTGCATATAAAAAGACATCTAAAGTTATTGTGCTCCTTGATTCTCCTTTCAATATGGCAACTCGTGCACGTTATTTCGCCAAAAGCAATGAACTGAGAAACAATGGTACTCTTATATTTTGGCAAGATGAAACGTGGTGTAATCAGAATGAAGAAAAAACCTTTATTTGGATTGATAGAGATACAGGTGCTAGTCGTCTACGACAAAGTACTGGCAAAGGTATGATTTCTTCTTTCTCTAAAATGGCCTGTGATTGTTTTTTGTCTACAGGGAAACGGCTCGCTATTTCTGCGCTGATGGGCCCATCAGGTTTCCATGCATCATCCATTGATATATTTGAATGTAATGAAGATTACAATATGAATTCAGCACATTTTCTGACATGGATCGATCGTACTGCGTCTCTTCTTCGAAAGGAACTTGGTAAGATTTCTCTTTTATCATTTTCACTATTATTTTTGGGCTTAGGAAAAGGTACAAAAATGATTCTGGTGATTGATAATGCCACATGGCATAGTCGACTCACAAATGACACAACACCACCAAAACGATCATGGCGCAAAGAAGCTATTATACGATGGCTCAAAAGCCATAACATTGTTGTTCCTGAAAAAGCTGTCAAAGCGGAATTACTCGAGATTGCTTTAGATAACCTGCCCCCAAAAAAATATGAAATCGATGAAGCAGCTAAGAAATACAATGTTGGTATTTTGCGGTATTTTTTTAACTTCAGTGCTTACTTTTGGTCTCAAAATGAGTATTTATAGATTGCCTATCAAACATTGTTTGCTTAACCCACTGGAGTTGGCATGGGTAGGATTAAAGCGGCATGTGTGAGATAATAACATCAATTTTCATCTTAGCGGCGTCCAGCAATTAGCACATTAATGGATGCTAGCCTTGAAACCAACTACAGTAACTGCTTACCTCAATCATGTATACAATATTGAGGAAACATTCAAGAAATCGGACAATTTTACGGAACAAATCGAAGAAGACTTATTGGATGATGACGATGATGAGGAATCGGATTCTGAGGCCGAAGAGGTGACTGATTGATACTCAGAATTTATTTATTTTTCGTTGTTTCCTGCTACCAAGTAGTAGTCTAAAGATAACTGTTTATCCCATCAAATATGCTAAAGAAGATTTTCAACCGGTAATAATTTTTTTGTGTCATTATGGTTTGATAGTAGAACAGTCGAACTGTGATGTATCGTGAGTAGTACTAATTTTAGTCGACAAAGAAAGATTTCTTTACAAAATGAATAGTTTCATTCCATCCAGAATGATCGAAAACCTAGTTATTTCTTGATAATATTAGAAATACTGAAACTTGAAAAAAATATTAATGGAGTATTTTTCGCATTTTTGACAACTAGTGTAAGACGTATAACTTTTGGACGAAATTAGATAAAAAATTCGGGTTTGTGTAGAATTGTAGATCTTCAGTAGAGGAATCTAACACACTCAATATAATTGAAAGCATACATATTGTTTATATCACTTCCAATGCTTTATTGAATTTCACTGCCTGCTCATCAAACTTATGAATTGAAGAAATCGCTATTATACAGAAAGATGCAGAATCACTGTCTCTTTCTAATGGTGAAAATCGCAGTTCGATAGCTATCATCGTTAAAAAGTTATTCGAAAAACAACCATCCTTCTTTTAATTTGAAATGGACATTAAATACGGTAAAAAAATTCCAGAAAAGAAAAAAATATTGTTAGATATCAAACTACGTTTGGCATATCGTAACCTACAGGGTAAATGATTGGTGTTTTCGTTGTTGGCATTTGCCATCTTGGATTTTCACGTTCAGTGATTGAGTAATATAAATCTTTTAATTCGATATAATGTTGCACAAATTTCTCACGATGTTGTACAACATCCTGTCGTTCGTGACCTTCGAAGTAGGATCGCTGTGAATTGGATTCATAACGAGCACCGCATCTTCGAAAGTTCAAATGGCAAGATGCTACCGAACGAACAAATGAATCATTTGAATCATTTTCTGTATTCGTTAATAAATAAAATTGGTCATCTATAAATTTAGCTAACAATTCAAGTTCAGGAAATGCATCATAACAACTGGATGCATGTTTTCCACTATGCCCTGCGTTAACAAATTCGGCAAAGTCGCCAGATAAAAACACATTAGATCATTTGCGAGCTGTTTTAGCCTTTAAAGCATTGATTTATTTCAAAAAATCATAACATTAAAGTCAATTTATACCGAAATATCGAAGAGTCATGCATAATAGAACGGAAATAAACTTAGAACCAGCTTTACTTTTGACTAATTCAAATACATCTGCAATATCATTGATGGTCAATTTATCACAGAAGCTAACGGACTCAGTATCCGAATCATTATTCATCATAATATTTTGCTCGTCTTCTTCTGACGATCTCTCATTATCCGAAGAAATTCGTTTAAATGACCACTGTTTGTTTGCATAAGCGCGTCTAATATATTGATGTTCTCTTAATTTAGGCATTATGAGGCTGTCAAACTATCAGTGTTGTTGTATTCAGAACAAGTAATGAATGATTACAATTGAATATAGTTTTCACAAGGAGTTAAATGCGCAGCTATACATAGTAATGACATAGAACCTTCCACAACTTCCTGGCATCTTCTTGAACCCTCTGACATGTTATAGCATTTTCTAGAACACTATAGAGCTTTCGAAAACGTTTAGAATAGTTTTATAAGTTCCACCGATTTTTCTAAAACATCCCACGACATCTTTCTGACCCTATAAAAAGTGTCTCTTACTGGTTCAAAGGTCAGATATTCAAGAGAGGTCGGGTTAAGTATGCAACAGTAGCCGATGCATCAGTCATAATTCAGTATTCTCGAGTAATCATAATGTTTTTTTTTATAAGAAACAGATTTGAAAATGATACAGATGAATAGAGAAGCATCCAAAAACAAAAATTAAGCTTGCGTTCGTCTGTCGCATCGCTTTTTAGAGTTCTTCTATAGCATCTTGGCACATCTTCAGGATATAAACATTGAATTCTTTACGTTTTTTTACTAATAGTAATATATATAATTAAAATTTCGCAAAAATTAAAAAAAAGAATTTAAAATTGACTAGACCACTTTTTGCATGATCACAACAAAAAAATTATTTTTCTCAACAATGAAACATAACCTAGAAAAACAAAATGGGTACGTTTGAAGGCCAATGCCTAGCACTTCTAATAAGACATGACAATTGGTTCTATATCGTGATATAAAAAACTAGAAAGGTTTACAAAACTGTCGATGGATACCAGAAATATGTGTTTTGGTGGTCGTATCCAACGGAGCCCTGTCGGATGACACTTCTAGCTTAACCTCAATCAAATAACATTTTTAAACTCAGTTTTCAATGTTGAATTAGAAAATAATCCTTTAAAAAAATTATTTAAATATAAGTAACAAAAAACTTGAAAATTTCTGAAAAAAAATTCATTTTTAGGTGTTTTGAATTATTCTTCACACTTTCCTCTTCTTTTGATCTTTTTGTGTACTCAAAAAGTGAGTACACTCTAGAATCGGTCAGTGTGTCCGGCCGGCCGGCCGTTTACACGATAACTTTTGAAAGGAGAGTTCAATCGCGATGAAATCTTTTACACAGTTCAGTCTTAACAATGTCTCGGTCGAGTTCAAAGATGAGCATGATTGGCCGAGCCATTTCTGAGTTATTGCAAAAATACTCATTTTTTCCTGTGGCTTTCTATGCGAAAATCGACCCATCCCCGCTTTCGTAAAAAACTTTTCCTATCATACTCAAACAAAACCCCAACTATTGTATACCATTCGATAGAGAATTTCACGAGCTACAAAATGGTATATAAAACATAAAGAAACACGAAGGCTGACTCACCTATTGCCAAGATAATCAGACGGAAATAGGTTCTGTTTTCGTCCACGCTCTAGTGGATCCGAAAATGGAGCTCTACCTTCCGATCACGGACATGATACCTCGAGGTTTTTTGTGGCGGAGAACTCGAATCTGTCATCCATTTGCCTTGAAATACCATCGGTTGAGCAGGGACCAATAGAAATCAAGTTATAGGAAAAATGACTTTCTTAGGGTAAATCAAGGCGAAGAGTTCAAATCTGAGCTGTATTCATCCCCAAATCCTATTGATTGAGAGTAGCCAATAGAAATCAAGTATTTTATAGAAAAGGTTTGCCAGAATAATTTTGATGTCCACACATTCTAGGATGACTCATCTGTCTCATTCACTTTTTGAAGTACACATAACTCTCGGATTTAAATCCGAGGTTTNAAACCCGAAATTGTTTTCTAATTTCGTTCAAAAGTGACACGTCTTACACTAATTGTCAAGAATGCGAAAAAATACTCCATTAATATTTTTTTTCAAGTTTCAGTATTTCTAATATTATCAAGAAATAACTAGGTTTTTGGATCATTCTGGATGGAACGAAACTATTCATTTTGTAAAGAAATCTTTCTTTGTCGACTAAAATTAGTACTACTGACGATACATCACAGTTTGACTAGTCTACTATCAAACCATAATGACACAAAACAATTATTACGGGTTGAAAATCTTCTTTAGCATGTTGGATGGGACTAGAGGCGCATCTGTTTCACCATCACGGTCACATGTAATTTTTCTTTCATGTTTAATCTTCAGTAATAACCTGCCATCTGGAAGTTGTGTTGAAAGGAAGGATAAAAGCACGAATTATTCACCGAAACAAAAATAACTCTTTATTTTCTGGCTGAATTAGAATTTCAAATCGATATTTCTGTTGCGTAATTTAAAGAAAGAAAACAAGGGGAGACTATCAGTCAGTTTAGACAAACATCAACAATCGATAACATGCCCATGGGTGTTGATTTCTCGCAAGATTTGAAGAAAATAATGTTCAATGTGATCCAGTTTGTAGAAGGTGAGAAAAGTGGTTGTTTAATTCCATCAAACAACGTAAATGATCGTTTTAAATCTATGCTGGGTAATATCAATGACATCAGTTGAAAGACTGAAGAGAGAAATAAGAAATCAAAAACGAGAAATGTTGGAGAAAGAAAACGAAATGATTGTACTACATACGAAACGGGATCACGAAAAACAAGATAAAGAAGATGCTGTGTTTCGAGCGACACTTCGGCTTCGACATCCACGTACAAGATCATCATGAATTTCTACTGCACCGTATACTACTACGAAAATATTCATGCCTGTTGCTAAATCATCACGAAAAAGTGGTCATGTTGTGTCTTCAACAATCGTTTGACAGATGATCAAAAAGAAAATATTCGGTAAGTACACTTGAGAGAATTGACATGCCGATACATCTATACTTTTTTTAGTTACCAGGTTCATCTGCTATTAGCTGAACGGGTGCACCTGACTACAGACAAAATTCTTAATAGAATTTTGGGTGACGATCCGGATTTTCCTATTCGTTCGGTAAGTGTGTTGTGGCGCTGGATGAAGAAGTTGGGTTTTGCATATAAAAAGACATCTATAGTTGCTGTGCCCCTTGATTTTCCTTTCAATATGGCAGCTCGTGCACGTTATTTCGCCAAAATCAATGAACTGAGAAACAATGGTACTCTTATATTTTGGCAAGATGAAACATGATGTAATCAGAATGAAGAAAAACCCTTTATTTGGACTGATAGAGATACAGGTGCTGGTCGTCTACGACAAAGTACTGGCAAAGGTATGATTTCTAATTTCTCTAAAACGGCCTGTGATTGTTTTTTGTCTACAGGGAAACGGCTCGCTATTTCTGCGTCGATGGGCCCATCGGATTTCCATGCATCATCCATTGATATATTTGAATGTAATGAAGATCACAATATGTATTCAGCGCATTTTCTGACATGGATCGATCGTACTGCCTCTCTTCTTCGAAAGGAACTTGCTAAGATTTCTCTTTTATCATTTTCATTATTATTTTTGGACTTAGGAAAAGGTACAAAAATTATTCTGGTGATTGATAATGCCACATGGCATAGTCGACTCACAAATGACACAACACCACCAAAACGATGATGACGCAAAGAAGCTATTATACGATGGCTCAAAAGCCATAACATTGTTGTTCCTGAAAAAGCTGTCAAAGCTGAATTACACGAGATTGCTTCAGATAACCTGCCCCCAAAAAACTATGAAATCGACACAGCAGCTAAAAAATACAATGTTGGTATTTTGCGGTAATTTTTTAACTTCAGTGTTTAGCTTTGGTCTCGAAATGAGTGTTTATAGATTGCCTATCAAACATTGTTTGCTAAACCCAGTGGAGTTGGCATGGGCAGGATTAAAGCGGCATGTGCGAGATAATAACACCAATTTTCATCTTAGCGACGTCCAGCAATCAGTACATCAATGGATGCTAGCCTTGAAACCAACTACAGTAACTGCTTACCTCAATCACGTATACAATATTAAGGAAACATTCAAGAAATGGGACAATTTTACGGAACAAATCGAAGAAGACTTATTGGATGATGACGATGATGAGGAATCGGACTCTCAGGCAGAAGAGGTGGCTAATTGATACTCAGAATTTATTTCTTTTTCGTTGTATCCTGCTATCAAGTAGTAGTCTAAAGATAACTATTTATCCCATCAAACATGCTAAAGAAGATTTTCAACCCGTAATAATTGTTTTGTGTCATTATGGTTTGATAGTAGACTAGTCGAACTGTGATGTATCGTGAGTAGTACTAATTTTAGTCGACAAAGAAAGATTTCTTTACAAAATGAATAGTTTCGTTCCATCCAGAATGATCGAAAACCTAGTTATTTCTTGATAATATTAGAAATACTGAAACTTGAAAAAAAATATTAATGGAGTATTTTTTCGCATTCTTGACAATTAGTGTAAGACGTGTCACTTTTGAACGAAATTAGAAAACAATTTCGGGTTTGTGTAGAATTATAGATCTTGAGTAGAGAAATCTAACGCACTTACTATAATTGAAATCATACATATTGTTTATATCACTTCCAATNTTGATAATATAACTGTTCCTGGTGTAGACGAAGATGTGGATGTTGTTGTTTCCGATGCCGTGGTTATTGAAAATGTGGCTGTCGACGATGTTAAATAATAAAAATGGTGAAGATGATTGAATGATATAAGTAAATGGTCGATTATCGGGTTGAAATAGGTTAAAGTTTTATTCTAAGAATTGATTTGTTTGTAAAGGTGTTATAATAAAGTCATATCTGAGATAAACATATTCGATTTGTCAATCATTTAGTTTTTCCTAATATAAAACATTATTTTGTCAAACAATGAAGAAAACTTACAATTAAATTCCAATGAAGAAATGATTTTTTTTTTGAAATATATTTCTATAAATTAGTTCTGATATAAATAGGGTAAAACTTCATA